GTTGTGGGTACTTTTTTTCTTTCAGTTCTGTGTTGGATTATTTGCTGTTCCCACCACTTAAACTCTGCACTGGAACTAATTTTTTGTCCTTTGCTTCTAAAACGGGGGAACTTCCTGTGGGGACCAGTACTTGAGCTCTGTGATTAAGCAAATTGCTGCTTTGCTGCTGATTCCCTGGGGAAGGCTTTTTGTGCAGCTCAGGTTTTAATAACTGACTTTATAGGTACTTCCAGCTCTCATGAGATCCAGTACAACTGGGTTGTGTAGACACACTGGTCTGGGCCTGAGTCATTTCATCAAACTGCACCCCATGCAATTCTATATTCCTGACCAGTCTCCTCTGAGTGGTCCTTCGCTGATTGGGGGGCAGATCAGCTGTCCTTGCTGTGCCCCAGTGTTCCCCTGGTGGGCTTGTCTCTCCACCACCCATGCTCCAAACACTTCCCATGGGGTGGGCTGTGCTCTGGTCCTTTGCAATGACTCACCAGCCTCGGAGTGGCTTTTTTTCAGTTGTTGTGGCCCCTTGCTCCTATGTGGGCCCACAGGTGCCCTGTTAGTGGTCTTGCTGGCTGGGGGCACCAAGGCCCTATTTTCCCCTGCTGCCTCCATGCAACTTCATAGGAAGGGCACAGCTGTGGCTTTTGCCAGCTCCCGCTCTGTGTTAAGCAGCTGTAAGCCTGGAAGTGGCCGGGATTCGAAATGGTCAGAGCAGTTCTTTCTTTCATCGTGGCTTCTCCCACCTTCGTGAACTCCATAGGTCTCTCCTCCTCTTCCCCTGAGCTCTAGTTGTCCCAGCTTGGCTGTCATTGCTTTTTTAAAGTTGTAAATTGGATGATTTGTGGGACAGAGTCATGCTGGGGACAGTCTATTCCTTCATCTTGACTGTAATTATTCTTCCTTTTTCTCATTTGCGTATCTGATCTACTAGCAGTTTTTATTTTTTCTCGGGTTTTTTGTTTGTTTGTTTGTTTGTTTTTCCTTTTTGTCTTTTTTCGTGACCGGTAACGGGATTGCAACCCTCGGTGTCACGCCTGCACCGTGCTCAACCAAGTGAGCGGACCGGTCTCTATATGGGATCCGAACCCTTGGCGGGAGCACCACTGCGCTCCCAAGCGCCGCACTCTACCGAGTGTGCCACCGGGCCGGCCCTGTTTTTTTTTTTTTTTTTT